ATCATGTTATTTATTGAGCAACACATAAAATAGTGCCATTATTTACTTAAATAGGAGAGAAATCAAGATGACACTAACCAAGAGTGTTGAGCTTAGAATAGATTTTCAAAATCTTAATCATTAAGATATATTAATCAGCTGTTACAACAATTTAACAAAGATTATAACCAAAGAAGTTAATTTATTTCGAAAGGATGAAATATCACAGTACCTATCTCAAATATATGACGTTAAAAGATGTATGAAGTGTCAGGTACTTGAATAAATATATAGAAATTCCGGCATATTTTAGATGATCATATGTACTTATAATATTCAAATTTAATGAGCAATATTCTATAATAATAACTAGGTTTTTAATTAAACCTGATTCAGTTTGTATAGTTTGCTTTTAAATTATAATTATGAAATAAAGAATAGATCATTTGTAGTATTTATGAGGCAATAGCTATAAAATTAGTCCTTTCAATAATTATAGTGTGCTGATTATTGTTTTTCTATTTAATTTATGTTGTATCAATGATATTAGTGAGATACGAGTTAATGAATAGAATCTTTTACTTAACACAAAATTCATTCATTCATTCAAACATGATAATATATTTTTCCTTGTGATAGTTGTTAGTTATGATTACTTTTAACAATAATATGAAGTGATTTTATCGAATAAATGTAAAAAACAAAAATATTCTATCTAAAAAGCTTTGAGTGAAGAAGATAGTTGAAAATCTTTCTGTTCAAATTAGAATTCAAATAAAAATAACTGATGTATGTATTTAAAAAAGAAATTTGAATTTCTTAGCCAGATTAGTTCGTTAAACTTTTCAATTAACATCGTTCGTTTAAATAGTGAAATGCATATATGTTTCTTCTGATTTTACAACAGAAATTAATTTTAAAATTGATTATGAAAAAATGCAATGTGACGCTAACAAAAATTAGGAACAGTAAACTATTTGAATATATAATAAAAATAAGATTTATCGATATAAGTAATTATTAAAAAAAAACAGGATTTTGAAAAGTGAAAGTGAATCCATCTACGATGGTCAATATTCATCTGTTTATATGTAGAAAAGATGTATGGCAGATGAATGCAATCTGTTATGGTTACGATCAAAAAACATTTTCTTCTATAATAATGTTCTAGTCTTTTTTCCTACTAGAAATATTTTTTGTGTTGTTTTATATTCAACCAAACTAAACGTAAAAATAAAAATCATAACAAATAGAAACAATGGAATATAGACAATATATAAAGATTGATACAGTCAGTAAAATGATCAATGTGTATGTGTGTATTCGTAGAAGTTCTTGATCATTGTTCGATTAATGTTGAGGTGATTTCTATATATAACCTATAATTATTGAAAAGATTATAAATTAAAATAAGATAATCTTTGAAAACAAAATAGAATATATATATTTATAGAAAACAATGAAATCAAATAAAAATCTGTATTCGATGAAACGAAAAGTTTTGCATGTCTATCTATGCTCAGCAACTTCATAGAAGATTTATTTATTTTTCCACTAAAAAGTTTAGTGATTTCATAGAGTGTGCCATTAATAATGATCTAATCGTTATTTACAATATTTTACTCTTGTAATAATTGAATTTTTTACATATCTTAGAATGAGATAAATCGCAACAATACATATGTTCATCTTTTTTTGATTTAAGAAGAAAGAATTAAATCGGGCATCTTTGAAAAACTAAATCAGCCTTCTTGTATGATCTTTCTCAACGAATTTTGTTTTTTATATAAATCTATTCGAAAGTTGAAACGAATTAGATTATACTCAAAAGAGAACAATCTTTCGAATCAAATGAAATTCAAAAAAAAAAAATTAAGTATTTTTTTTCTATGAATTGAACAAGTGCAATTTGTTAAATATTAACTATTTTACGAAAATTTTCTAAATAAAAAATCTCAAAGAATGTTTCGTATTCGATGAGATATATGAATCAAAAGAATTCATTTCTACATTGAGATTTCTCGAATGACTATTTATTCAATATAACATATGATACAAAAGTAATGGCACAATATGTTCACCTCGGCTTCTTTTCGATAGAGAAATTCTCAAAGAAAATGTTTTCTTACCAAACAATAAACTTTATTCTCTTTGGAATCGTATACTAGTTAGTTTTTATTAGTATGTTTGTAACCGGAACGATACAAAAAAACAAAAGAGAGACGTCCTCAACAATATTTTTTGCATTTTTCCTATAAAATAACGTAGAATATGTGGATCCTTAGATGTCTTCGTTAAATTCTTTGTAAAAAAAATAGAGAAAATTTTCTTATCAGATGAGAGGAAAATATCTCCTCTTTTTGACGGTGTATGGTTTATATTTTTCATAAATTCGTAAATGAATAATGGGACAACGAAGAAAGACAAACACTGTTGCAAGATATTTTCAGTTTCTTTTATGAATCAGTAAAAAAAAATTGTTGTGAATGATACTTAACGATAAATAATTTATTATTTTAGGAGCTATTTAACGAGTTCATCAAGGACGAACTATTGTCTTCTCTCGAATTAAAGAGGGGATTGATATAAATTGAATAATTCAACAATGACAAGAGTTACCGATCTGCAGTTTTCACCAGTCGATAAAGGAGACAGTGAGACATCTTATAAGACGAAATGATTTTGAATACTGGCATTCATGCAAATCTTTCCTGCGAAGGCATGGCAATACTATGCCAATACAATGAATATCTGGTTTTGATCTTTGATTTAGATAGAGAGACTTCAGATCTACAATTCAAGATAAAATGCAAAGGGTTCTCTTATTACATTCTAACATTGAGCAAATAGAATCATGTATTTACATGCGCAAATAATAGGGAATTTTGCTGGGCTTTTTTTTTTTACTTCGTTTTCGTACTTTTTATCATAATAGCTTGACATTTCGATGAAAAGTTGGAAAGCGCATAACTATAGATACGAAGTCCCTCTATCTAAATCAAAGATCAAAACCAAAAATTCATTGTATTTGCATCGCATATCCATGCCTTCTCGGAAAAGATTTGCAAGAATGTCAGTATTCAAAATCATTTCGTCTTATGCATTATCGGAGAAAAAGATGTCTCACTCTCTCTCCATTATCAATTGGTGAAAATTTCAGATCGGTAGTTCTTGCCGTTGTTCAGTTATTCAATTTACACTAGGAGTCTACGGTTCCACAAAAGCTGGAACCGAATCGGCTTTTTTTTCAAAATCTGGACCGCAACCGTGGAAAAAATCATCTAAGAATCAGGAACCGTTGTTTGGATATGTGTGGTGGTGGGATGGGTATGAAGCTTTTCTTGGCAAAACAGGCACAGCTACACTCTCAAGATAGTTATTGATATAATTTGGTCATCATTTTTTTTTAGATTAAAAAGGGAGTATTTCAAAAAAAGGACGGCGTCATGCTCTGTCAAACAAAAAAAAATATAAATACACTGGACGAATTATTACAGAGAAATTCGGGTTGCTAAATTGGCTATTTTTGGGTCTTGCTTGGTCTATATATCCTTTAAATGAAGCAATTTAGGGCTGAACATTTTATCACAGACTCTCATTAATAGCCCCAACGCATCTCCCATATTTCAACTCGTTCCAATGTTCCTGGACTGAGATAGATTTTCGAGGGGAGAGACCGTAAAGTAGCTAAACACATGAACGTTATGTTCTATGATGAAGATAAAGAAAATGATGAAAATGATTTTTTTTAAATGTTTTTGTATTTGAATAAATAAAATGGTTTGCAAAAAAAATTGAAACAGTACTACTATATAAACATGTAATGCTTTCTAGACCCTCTTGAGTCTTTGCTTTGCCTTTAGTACAGATTTATACTAAATAGATTAGCCACAAATCGTAGTCATATATTTGATCAAATTCTATTTTATCCTAGCATGATACTAATCTAAGATGACAAAGGCATCCAGTCTCAAATCACATCATATGTCTACATTATATTATTAGAACATGATAATTAAGTGATATTGAAAGAATCGCTAGAATACTAACGTGAAAAAGTTTAGTTTTATTGTTTTAACTATCATAATTCCACGCTAGTTAAAGTGTCTGAAATATTAATGTTGAAAGAATTGTAATCAATTTTATTAATAGCCTAAAAAACAAGTGTCTCTGCATTATGGAATCAAAAGGAAAACGAATCAAATAGTAAATCAGATATTCTAAAACTGTCAACTGATATCCTTTAAACAGAGAAATGTTTTTCTTGAAAGAAATTGAACTAGTCTAGATACAAGCTAAACATTTGTTCCAAATTTTTTTTTTTGCCAATCACTGTATATGTTGAACAAGTGACTTATTGTTTTATTTTCTATTCTATGTTTTGAACAAAATGTTGTCCGAACAAACAGCAAATATTGTTACATTAGTAGTACTAATTGCAAGAATTAAAGAAACCAAACTCTTAAATGTCTTCTACATCTGATAATTTACCGGGTTCCTTGAAATATTTTTGGAACTAAATCGGAACCGCAGACTCCTAATTTACACCAACTCTTCTTTAATTCTTCATTAAAAAATTTGAGAGTTTCTTGCAATAGCCTTTGCCCTTCTTCTTAACCTATGTCAAGAAAGTCTTCGTACAAAATATTCATTCAGTTTTCGGTCTTTTAAAAGCAAGTAGCGAGAGTCGAAAGCAGTTAGTAAGATTCGGAATTTTGCGTTCTTTCCGAATGTGGACTCAGAAATCGTGTGTCTTGTTTTGTTCGAGAGGTGCGAGGGAATCTTTGAAAGGTCTGAAAAAGTAGCTTGCACAGAAAATTCTTCTTACATTTTCACTATCGGAATTCAAAACGAAAAGTTGGAACTTTTGTTAATATATCAGTTTGTAGAGTAAACTTTACACTACAAAATGCAATATTTGATTTTCTTTTTTTCTTCGGCTTAAATTCCACTTTTCTGACGTCCTCATTTTTAGAAAAAAATCGACTTGTTAACGAAAGCGTTTTTTTTACATAGAGAAGCAGCTCTTGAAAAAAATGCTTCTAGATTAAAACTACAGTTTGATACGATATTACGTTTTGTAGAGAAGTGTTCGCTCTGCAAAATTACTGACTACGTTCGAAAGAGAAGAACTATAGAAATAAACATTTTCTAATTGTTTGTTAATATATAGAATACGTACCAGATAATCAAGATGAAAAAATATTTCTTTCTAAATCATTAAAATAATCAATATTTATTTGTTCATTTTCTAATTGAATTAAACAATGACGATGATTGATACATTGATCGATATAACTGTTTAATTTTTCATCATTTAAAATTGAACGATATTTTTCTAAAAATTCAATGACTTTCATTATAATTGGTTGTTTAGTTTTAAAACTATCCTTTATTTGATCATATACAACAATAATACCAGTTAATGATCCTTGTTGAACTTTTGATGAAATAGCTTTTTTGTATTTTTCTGAAATAATTTCTAGTAAAATCATTTTCATGAATGATATGCAATCATCTATTCGAAGATATTCAATGGATCGATTTCTATTATTTGATAATTCTTTAAGAATATAAGTTGATGCTGTTGATAAGGTACCATTATATTTAACTTTACAACCAATTTTAATAGAACTACCCCAGTCGATCAACAGTATTTCATAACTATTTTTTTTTGATACAATGGAAAAAAAACATTCATAATTATACATCTATAAAAAGTCAGTTTATTATTAGTTTTTTCATGATTTACCTATTAGTTTTATTATTAAATAATTCAATAATATTTGATCTTCTAATATCACAATGTAAAAACTTAATTTCATGTGTTTTTTTTATTTGTTTCCATATAACATCAATATTATTTAATAAATTTTCTTTTGATATATTTCGACCCGGTGGATGTAAAAATAATAAGGCATATTCATGAACTTTAATTATCCTATATTTATCACTATATAATTCTTTATAAATTGATACTTCTTTGTCAACGGATTTATTACTAATTTTTAATACATATTCACTTGTTTGATCATTATTCAAAAAACAATTGAAAACCATTGAACTAGCACCAATACCTAATAATCTATTATGAATACGAATATGATCAGATAATGATGATAAACGACAATAACCAAATTTCGATGGATCTGCAATGAAAAACGTTGTTAAATAGTGCAATAAAAATTCGTACTCGTCATCGAGTGCTTTTGCTGATGTTGTATATTCAATATTATCACCATCTATTGATCTGCTTACTTTAGCAAATCGAATATCATGAAAATCAGTCATAGCACCCATTATAAACAAACGTGATCCTGGAGAATAGTCCAATATAATTCGTAGATAATGCACTAGTTGTCCAATATTTGAATCTTGTAAATCTTTTTTTAATTCAAGAACTGAGATTATGTGAATAGGTAAGCACTCGACATCTAAACTACTTGTTGATGATCTAATGTCTAAATTGTAATAGTCAATACGACAAAAATCAGGCATTAATCGTTCGAATAAACTTCGAAAAATGGTTCCTTTAAAACCATCAGTATATTTTAATTCATCACCAATATTTTGTTTATATACCTTCATACATTCTTCATAAAAATTACGTTGAAGAGCTTTCTCATGCATATTGTCAATATCTGTATTACGTAACCACAATCTTAAACGATTTTTTAATTCAATATAATCAAAATTTGTTCTTATATTATCATCTTGAAATAAATTATGCATTTGTACTTCAACAGTATCTCGGTTAAATGAATCGTGACTCTTCGATGCCGACCTACTTTCAGACATTGTAAGTTATCCAATTGACTTCTATTCTGACAAATGGGTAAAAAGTCAATTATCTTTTTTTTTCTTTTTCACGAAAAAAATAATATTTACTAACAAATAAACCAACGTTTAAACAGAGATCTAAAATTAGACAAAAAAGCAGCATTGAATCAAAAAATACTTCTCGTTATGTTCTTTCAGAACAGCAAATGTCAATCTTTCTTTTTTCTATGATCGTGTACACACACTAGACAATGTGAATTCTCTTTGTCTAGTGTGTTCGTACATACTCTATAAAGATCAAGATAAAGTACACACAGATTCATTTTTTTCCAATATTGACACTGTCGATGCGAAACCTTTTGATTGGTATCGATAGTGTCAACAATGGAAACAGGAAATCTGAGGTCAAACAGACTGAAAAAAATGAAACGAATTTAGCAACATTATTGGTCTACTTCGATTTAAGTCGTCTTTTTGGGACGATTTATTAGTTAATTCAATTTTAATTCATTTTGAATTAGTCAGTTTATTTGAAGTCTCTATTGTATAGCTTACATTAACCCTCTATGATATTTGGAACAACAATGCCTGTGTTGGTTGAGATAAGCTACACACACTTTGACGTACACACACAAAATCGCCATTGAACCATGTTGCACATTTTCTTTAGAAAGAAGACGTTTGTGTGAAAGAGGGCGCTCAATGATAACGGGTCTCGCTCTTGCGTTATTTATAAATATGACATTTTTTTCACAGGATTAGTCTTGTAGATGATCTTTTAAAAACTGAATGTAGCAAAAAATCATTGCGGATCATTACTACTGTAAGAAGCTGAAATAATTTACTAGAATAATATATCTGAATTTTATTATACAAATGTGATTTTTATCATTATATGGCGCATGAATTATATAAGATAAGCAAGAAAGATATTTCAAAAAAAAAACAAATCAATGTTCATCAGAATAAAAAAGAAGTATTTAAGAAAAATAACGTTCAGCATCAGGAGAAGTGTTCCCAAAAGAACGTATAGTAAAAACAAGTACTTTAAAAAGATATTTTCAATGGCGGTCAATATTGAAAGTTTGAGAGCATAATTAGGTTGACTGATGAATGATGCTATTGACTGTCTGTCTAACAGGAAGATTTTCTGAAATCGCTAAAGATCGAATTGATCCAATTATTAGTTTCTAAATAAAAGAAACCTTAAAACATAAATATGTGTTAGAAATCATTTATACTTACACCGTTTGATTTATTAACGAGATGTACTGGTAAAGGTGATTTGAATAAAAAAGGAGTAGGAGTTGAAGTCTTTGTTGACTAAAATTGAGACGAAGGCACTTTCAAATAACGCAATTTACTTTTGTTCATTGTGCTGTTTCAAATAACTGTTATCATTTAGTAGTTCAGAACACTAATGTTCATTTAAGTAAAATTTGACAGGAAGCGATAGTTGCATTGCATTTTTTTACTAATCAAGAAAGAAATTTTGAGTGTTCAGCTTGATAGTAGTTCAGCTTTTAGACTAATTTCGATCAAGCGATGCTCTATATGGAAAACTAATACTTTCTTAACGAATGGAAATGTATGATTTTCCATAGTAATGCTAGAAATACGATTAGAAAAAAGTATTAAGAATGGAGATTTGAAACGTAGTGCTATACGAATTCTATTCATCATGAGTCAGTAATTCCAACCTGCAGTGTCTTTTAATAAAATAAAAAAATCGAAGATTTATATAGAGTCAATGTTGGTAAAGCGAACGCTTTTCGAGGGTGTCTCTGTTCTCTCTCGTATATCTCTGTTATTTTAAGGAGTAAAATTTTTCTTTTTATGTAGTAGGGAAGAGAAATGATTTCTCTATCTACTCATATGAAAAAAAAGATTCTAGGTGTTCTAATGATTGAGTAATTAGCGGTATGCGATGACACATCTAAAACGTTCGCTTTATCCGTCATGTTGGCAAAGTGAACGCTAAGCAAAAAATTTGTTGGTAAAGCGAACACTCAAGCGCAGAACAAGCGAAAATGTCATTAATTAGCGAATTTAAGCATTCCTGCTTGAAAATTTCAATATTTCTTTTTTTTTAATGACATGATTCGATTCCTCTCGCTGAACTGTATCTAATTCCAGCGGTTCAGCCCAATCGAATGTATTTTCGATTTTTTATTGATTTTTTAGAAATATGCTAGGTGTTCGCTTTATCTGTATGGCAGATAAAGCGAACGTTCAGCTAGAAAATGTTGGTAAAGCGAACGCTCTAGCTATTTTTGCTGCAGATTATCTACTTGAAAGTATTTCAATCATTTCTG